TGGGGAGGCACCCTTCACCTGCCTTGCGGGGGTGCCCCATGTCACCCTGCGTCCCCCCGGCCCGGTGAGGAGGTGACACTGCCCTGGGAGCGATGTGTCGCTCCAAGCCCATGCTCAGAGCCAGCTCAGCCGCCCCAGCTCTGCTTCATCGGCACAAGCTCCCTGTTTGCTCCCAAGCTCGCCCGCTGCCCCGCTACGGGACGCAGCGCCAGCCCCGCGCTCGGCCCCGCTCCGTACCTCACTTTGCGGTAGTCGTTTAACTTCTTGTTGATTAGCGCTTGGCTGGCAAAGCTGGGGTCCTGGGGGGCAGAGAGAAGAGGGAAGGGGGAGCTTGAGCGGCAGCGGTCGCCGGTGAGCATCGCTCCGACTGCGAGCATCGCTCCGACCATGAACATCGCTCCGACCGTGAGCATCGCTCCGACTGCGAGCATCGCTCCGACCATGAACATCGCTCCGACCGTGAGCATCGCTCCGACTGCGAGCATCGCTCCGACCATGAACATCGCTCCGACCGTGAGCATCGCTCCGACTGCGAGCATCGCTCCGACCATGAACATCGCTCCGACCGTGAGCATCGCTCCGACTGCAAGCATCGCTCCGACCATGAACATCGCTCCGACCGTGAGCATCGCTCCGACTGCGAGCATCGCTCCGACCATGAACATCGCTCCGACCGCGAGCATCGCTCCGACCGCGAGCATTGCTTCGACCATGAGCATTACTCTGATCACGAGCATCGCTCCAATCGCAAGCATTGCTCCGACCGTGAGCATCACTCCGACCACGAGCATTGCTTCGAGCATGTGCATCGCTCCGTGAGCATCGCTCCGACCATGAGCATTGCTTTGCGAGCATCGCTCCGACCGTGAGCATCGCTCCGACCGCGAGCATTGCTCCAACCGTGAGCATCGCTCCGACTGCGAGCATCGCTTCGAGCATGTGCATCGCTCCGACCATAAGCATTGCTCCGTCCATGAGCATCGCTGTGACCACGAGCATCCTTCCAACCACGAGCATCGCTCCGACCGTGAGCATCGTTCCGACCGCGAGCATCGCTCCAACCGCGAGCATTGCTTCGAGCATGGGCATCGCTCCGACCGCGAGCATCCCTCTGACCACGAGCATCTATCTGACCATGAGCATCCCTCTGACCATGAGCATCACTCTAACCGTGAGCATTGCTCCGATCGTGAGCATCCTTCTGACTGCGAGCATCACTCCGACCGTGAGCATCCCGCTGACCACGAGCATCCTTCCAACCACAAGCATCCCTCTGACCACGAGCATCGCTCCGATCGTGAGCATCCCTCTGACCGTGAGCATCCCTAAGACTGTGAGCATCCCTCCAACCACAAACATTGCCCTGGCTGGAAGCATCCGTCTGCAGCAGGGGCACCTGCGCCTGCCTTTGCCAAAGCCACCACCAAGCCACACAACATCCAAAGCCAGAGGCCTCTCCGAGGGGCACCGTCAGCTATCCCGGCCGGCACTTCAGTTCCCGATAGTGCCACATGCTCCAAGCTCTGCCAGCTCTGCATGGAGCCCTACAGCATCGCTCCTCCAGTGAAGATGGCAAGAATCAGAGACTGCTCTGAGATCATTGCACCCAACAGG